GGTGTACTTATGCACGCAGCATTTCTCTTTCAGTGTGATTTTTTTAGTAGAAAATTTCAAAAGTAATCGTTATTTGCGGTCCCTGAGTAAAATGCATTTTTAAGTTGAACTTACGTCTAAATTCAGATTTTGCGTTTTACCTACCTATCTACCATATAATGGAAATAACGGAAAATGCAAGAAATACAATTTATCACTAATTATGTAAAATCGCTTAAGTTTATATTCAAATGAAGTTTTTAGTCAAACCCTGGATTCTTGTAAAATTTTGTATACAAATTTTCGTACAGATATTTCCTGTACAATATTCATGTTTTTCAGAATAAATGTTATTCGTAAATTTTTTATAAAAATAAAGTTATTAAGATCTAATTTGCTGAAAATTTGCAAATTTTTCTACAAAAAGTTTGAAACGTATATTTATGTAAACTAGTATCGTCCCGTTGTCGAAATTCGACCACCTCACTTTTTCATACACTTTCAATTTGTTTGTGACGTTTTTTAGATACATGAGCACCTCTTGATCGTCCAGGTCACTAATATTATTTATTTATTAGGTGGAGTGATATATTTTCCGTTAAATAATTTTATAATTCATAGGAACAGTAAGGAGGAATAGATTTGTATGGGATTTCGTTAATACGCTAATATATAGATAGTAGGTTGAAACCAAAGCAGGCATTCATAGGCTTATACAGGAATTAGAATAACTTGGCTCTGGAGCTACCTATCGGGTCTTTTTGCGCGCATATTTCTCTTGATGTTAGTAACACGTATTTTGAATTTGAAGTAAATCGGATCATAAATGTAACTTTTCGGAATAACTCGACTCCCGCGCCACCTGCCGGAAAAACAAACAAAACGCGCACCTCTTTGAAAAACCGTTCGAACAAACGAACAATCATCAAATCGGCTGAGAAACATAGGAGCAGTACGGAGGAATAGATTTGTATGGGATTTCGTTAGCGTATTAATATATAGATGGTTTGTATTATAGAGTAAACTACCTATATATTTATAAAAAATTTACAAAATTTTTGTTTAATGAATAATATGTACATATATCTGCTGTAAAAAACCATGGAATGAAAGCAGGGACCGTAACGGTTATAACTGTTATTATAAAAATCACTTTTTAATCGTTATCAACTGAGTTTTATTTTTTGCTCAATACATAACGATTATTTTTTGAGTTTTATCGTTATGTTTTGAGTTTTATTTTTTGCTTGGAAAAAAATCATTACAGGGACCGTAACGGTTATAAGTTTTATTTTAAAAATCACTTTTTAATCGTTATTAACTGAGTTTTATTTTTTGCTCGGAAAATAATCGTTACGTTTTAAGATTTATTTTTTGCACGGAAAATAATGGTTACGTTTTAAGTTTTATTTTTTGCTCGTAAAATAATGGTTACGTTTTAAGTTTTATTTATTTCTCGGAAAATAATCGTTATTTCTTGAGTTTTATTTTTTGCTCAGAAAATAAAACTTAATTTTTGCGTATGCGTATGCGCTTTTTTGCACTTTTTCTTTAGAAATGTGGTTCTCTTTGTTTCTGCCCTGGCATCTGTATTTTCATTACCCACTCCACAGTGGCGTTAAAGGTTCAAGTGGCCCTGGCATCTGTATTTGCATTACCCACTCCACAGTGGCGTTAAGGTTCAATGCAGCCGCCCCCTATTCACGCATGAGTTCCCTCTTCATGGTAAACATTAGTATTATTTTTCATTACATTCGGTTCTCCCTAGAAAAATTTGGCGCTTTATATTTTAGTGGAAATTTTAACCATCTATAAGCCATTTTTTTCCACGGTGGGTCAAAAAGGCCCGTTCTGGTTCGAATTGATGGGTTAAACTTTTGGAAAAAAGTAGACCAACCTTGTTTTCAATATGTAATCCGCAAAAAATCGTAAGGACTCCGTAATTTAACATAACGGTTGATAAGATTATTGCGAAAATTTATTGAGAGCGACATAAATTACCCCAATAACTAAACTTGTAAAATTTTTTTATTTGTTTAAATTTAAATAGTACATACGGATCTGTAGAGAACATAGAGATCCGTGTATGTATGTATGTACAGTATCGTATATAATATCTATAGCACGCCATTTCAAAGTGATATTGTGTGCCACTTATGCTTATTTATTTATTTTTAAGAATTTTCAATTAAAATACAGTTCTTTCTCTAACAAACCCCATATAAACCCAAGTTGAAAAATTTGTAGAAAACTTCAAAAAAGTGCAACAAATTTTCACCTAAATTTCAAACTTTTTTCTCGGAAGTGTTTGCATTTTAATTGAAAATTCTCAAAAATAAATAAATAAACATAAGTTGCACACAATATCACTTTGAAATGGCGTGCTATAGATATGACCGATACTGTATATACCTCAGACCTTCTGTTCGCCCATCAATCAGCGCCAGACACTCAATATTCTAATTCAAGTGGAAGTAACAATTATATTCAACAATTTTATAATGAGCTCGAGGCCATTTTTTAAATGAAAATTTATTGTGGAAAAGCAACAATAATTTGAAAAAATGGTAGAAGTGATAGCTATTTCGGAAATCACCACATTTCCTCATCAGTCTTCTTTTAGTAGGATTCGAACCGACGATCCCACTGACTCAGCCAGTTGCCTATGCACCGTGCTAAGACGCCTTGTAAATTATCGTTTGCTTATTTCCACTATTTTCATTTTTGTTATGCCAACACAATCAAGCGCAGCTATTCCGCTGCAATTCACTTGATCATGTGGTTGTTGGTTTTGTTGGTTTGTGCTAATAATTCTATTTTTAGAATGCTTAACTTTTAGGTGTGCTCGTCCTTAAGTTATTTGTTTTTTGTTATTTTTTGGCCTTTTAACAATTATATTCAACAATTTTATAATGAGCTCGAGGCCATTTTTTAAATGAAAATTTATTGTGGAAAAGCAACAATAATTTGAAAAAATGGTAGAAGTGATAGCTATTTCAGAAATCACCACATTTCCTCATCAGACTTCTTTCAGTAGGATTCGAACCGACGATCCCACTGACTCAGCCAGTTGCCTATGCAGATTTCGGAAATCACCACATTTCCTCATCAGACTTCTTTCAGTAGGATTCGAACCGACGATCCCACTGACTCAGCCAGTTGCCTATGCACCGTGCTAAGACGTCTTGTAAATTATCGTTTGCTTATTTCCACTATTTTCATTTTTGTTATGTTTGTTGTATGATATATGTATTAATGGTATTCGAGTTAATAAATGAATTTCAGATTTTCGCCAGTGAATTGTAAGCGCAAAATATTGACTATTTATTTCTCGCCCAACGTCCCAACATTCGAAAATATTTGCGGCGTAAATATTTTTTGGAAAATTAGCTATGATGAATCCAAATTCAGCGGATGACTGCCAGCGACGGACAGTCGCCGTTATTGGTGATGGGTAACGGGATGTCAAAGGCTGTTTCTGAGACCCCGGTAGCCACATGCTTTGATCTCGCAGTTACTTCTGGGGCTGAGGTAAAATTGACCGAGCGTTCATATGTGCTACATCTTCCGATGGGTACGCACAATCTGGAACATATATGCTGCATGACGTTGAAGTTTCGGCGCATTCCGGCGCTCCTCATACGATGTGGGCTACATCGGCAGAGGGGTATGCACGAACGGGCATCACGTGGTGCAGCACGGCTTCTACGTGGGTCGGCAACACACCTAGCAGGCAGTAAAGAACATCTTGATGAACCTGCGCTATCCACGTGGGCAGGTGTTCCAGGTAACACCAGATACGTAACAGCACAGTCGCGAATGCCGTTACACTCAGCATCGGCTATCGCGTTTGAGAACCGCCGTCCATCAGTGCAAACCGGCCTGCCACCTGCCATGCACCTGGCATACCATCCCTTCGCGGACACACACAAAAGTCCCTCTGCATTAGATTCGCGTTTCGTTCTACACTCCACGCTCGAAGCTCCACCACCAACTCTGCAGAATATGTGTTCCCAGCCAAGCTACGGCGAATTCACTCAGAGTGTCATCTCGGCACACTTGTTGGGTAATCCGCCTCAGCAACCGGCACCTAACAATTATAGTGAAGCGATGAATAACACACGGCTGGGAGCATCGCAAAACAATTAGGGGGATATCGTCGATGGCAACAGTTGTCAGATGGACATGCTCCCTTCGCCCCAGCACTAGTTTCTGAGACTACGCTGTCGACTGCACAGATGGCGTCACGGCAAGTGATCAGCAGGGATCTGCCGCACTTCACTGGCAAACCAGAAGATTTATATCCAGCTTTGAGCAGTTAACGCAGCAGTGTGGCTTCACTGACGCCGAAAACCTTATACGACTTCAGCGGAATCTCAAGGGCGGCGCCTTGCCGTGAGAGGCAAGCTCATGACACCATCGACAGCATCACAAGCCATTGAAACGCTGAGAATGCTGTATGGCCGTCCTGAGGTCATTGGACTGTCTGCATATTTAAATGACCCTTTGCTTCTCTCTGAGCTGATATGCAAACTACCTTGTGACCTGAAGCTGGAGTGCGGTCGACACCAGGTGTCACTGCTACAAGTAGGTATATGTGAGTTTGACGATTGGCTTTTTAAAATGGCCACATGTGCAAGTCAGGTGGTCACTGTCGGTGGCACCGTTAGCAACACCCCGAATGAAGAGGCCAAAGGCAACAACAAAAGTTCTAAGTCAAGGCTTTTGGTCCACAACGTGGTAAGCCGTGATGGTGCCAATTCACATTTACGCTGCGCTAGCTGTGACGGTGACCATCGGCTAGAAAACTGTAAGCTTTTCCGCGCTCTAACGACAAACGAGAGGTGGCGCTTTGTACGTGAACAGAAATTATGCATTAGGTGCTTCAAGAAACATTTTTTAAAAAACTGTCGACTTAATAATCGCTGCAGTATCGACGGTTGCTCCAAACCTCATCACATACTCCTTCATTCGTACGATCTACCTACACCGAATGACAAAAAAAAACCAACGAGACTGTTATGCCGCATATTAAGAGTCAATCAACAAAAGCTATGTTCCGGTACGTTCCGATAACTTTGTATGGAAAGTCGAGGTCAATGAAAACATATGCGCTCATCGACGATGGGTCTGCGTGTACATTGCTGGAGAGACACGTGGCTGAAGAACTTGGCTTGGATGGCCCTTCTGAGGACCTTTGCCTACGTTGGACTGGAGACATCACCCAAAATGAGCCTGACTCTAAAGTGATCACTGTGGGTATCTCACCAACTAGTGACACATCTCCACGCTTTTATCTTCCAAGCGTTCGCACCATATCCAGCCTTGACCTTCCAGAACACTCGCTAACACAAGAAATTCTGGATTCGCATAGTCACCTAAGGCACCTAACGATCGAACCATACAACGCTGTTCGCGCCACGATACTTCTCGGGATTGACAACGCTAAACTTGGTGTGCCTCTTACAGTCAAGGAAAGTGAAGGTAATCCTCTTATAGCGACCAAGTCCAGGATTGGTTGGTCTGTGTATGGGCGTCGTACTGAACCATCCATAAACTACAATAGAGTGATGCATATATGCTCTTGCGAGCCTGCTGTGAGATTGGATGAAATCATCAAGGAAAATTACGCTTTGGAGGCAGTGGAAGTCTGCTTGAAACCCGATTCGCTGCGTTCCAAGTCCGATGAGCGGGCTCTAGAAATTATGGAGTCATCTACTGAATATCATCCGGAGCTGAAAAAATGGGAGACCGGTTTGTTGTGGAAATATGACCACATCAATCTGCCTGAGTCATGGTCGATGGCGATCCGACGACTTGACTGCTTGGAACGAAGGATGAGTCGGGACCCCAACTTACGAGAGGTTCTTAACGTACAGCTAAAAGTCTTTGAGGAGAAGGGGTATATCCGAAAATTATGCAAAGGCGGAAGATCGTGGTTCCTTCCTAGTTTTACTGTGACCAATAAAAATAAAGGTAAAATTAGAGTGGTGTGGGATGCTGCCGCGACTGTGAACGGTGTGGCATTGAACACTTACCTTCTTAAAGGACCCGATATGCTGGCATCGCTACTTGGTGTATTGATTCGATTTCGGGAGCACTCTGTTGCAATCACAGGGGATATTCGAGAGATGTTTCACCAGATCCGAGTACGCAGTGAGGATCAACGGGCTCAACAGTTTCTCTGGCGATCCGGAGAACGCCACCGGGAGCCGGACGTTTACGTAATGGCCGTCATAACATTTGGAGCTGCCTGCTCCCCAACCCTAGCCAACTTCATAAAAAACAAAAACGCTGGCCGATTTAGCAATGAGTTTCCGAAAGCGGTTGATGCTATTAATCGCAACACTTATGTAGACGACTGGTTGCAGAGTGTTGACACTGAACGGGAGATGATCACGGTTGCGGGACAGGTGAAGCACATACACAGTGAGGGTGGTTTTGTAATGCGTAAGTGGCTCTCCAATTCTGCCAAAGTACTCGAAGCCATTTCGGGTACAAAAGCACAAAGCAACAAGTGCCTTAAAGAATCTACTGCGACGTTCGAAAAGGTCCTAGGCATGTGGTGGATGCCTCAAACAGACGAGCTCACATTCGTTGAAAGATTCAACCGGGCAGTTTTTAATGAGAACATACATCCCTCGAAGCGCAGCATTCTCAGAGTGATCATGTCTATTGGATTGATAGGGTTTTACATGATACAAGCCAAGATAATTTTACAAAATATATGGAGATCAGGATGCGTTTGGGATGATCCCATCAACGAGGCAGACTGCAAGGCGTGGTGGTCTTGGATCCGGATACTACCGCAAATAACTCGTATTCGCATACCACGCTGCTATCCTCTAGCTAGTCGTAGCCCGGAGTTACAGCTTCACATATTTTGCGACGCAAGCACGGCCGCGTATGCAACGGCAGCTTATTTGAGAGCCGCAGTCGATGGTACGGTGAGCTTCTGCCTGGTAGCATCCAGGTCTCGAGTTACGCCTTTAAAGCCCGTGTCTATACCGCGCCTGGAACTGATTTGTGCTATTTTGGGATTACGACTTTCGAAATTCATAAGAAAAGAGATGACTTTACCCGTATTTAAGGAGATATATTGGACCGATTCGAAGAATGTTCTCTATTGGGTGAGATCCGATGCGCGCAAATTTAATCAGCTCGTAGCGTTAAGGGATGGCGAAATTTTAGAGTCAACGTACGTGGACGATTGGAGGTGGGTGCGCTCTGCGAACAATGTGGCCGATGACGCTACGAAGTGGAAACAGTTTACAAAACTTGACGGAGACTCAAGATGGTTTAACGGTCCCCAATTCTTACAACTCCCCGAGTCATAATGGCCTAAAACCACTATCGTACGCTACTGAGTCTGAGCCAATACAGCACATAGATGTCAGCATGATAAACACCGTTGCGCCCTATCTTACCAGAGATGACAAGGTTCAGCAAGTGGGAACGGCTGCATGGCTCTGTGAAAGTTGTCTTACGGTTTCTTCGTTTAGTCAACAAACATCAGATTCAGTCAGGTTTCCTTCGGACGGTAATTGAAGATACCACCATAAAAAGTGCAGAAATCTTAGTTCTCGTAAACTGCCAGTACGAAGCTTTTGCAGAGGAGATAGAATGCCTCCAGAGAGGACAATTTGTAAGTCGTAAGAGTATAATTTTTAAATGTTCTCCTTTCATAGATGAAACAGGGCTGCTCCGAGTAAAAGGACGCATAGACTCAATCGAAGGAGTTCCCGTCAGCATAAAACGGCCAATTATTCTATCACGTAATCACCCGGTAACATTTTTAATTGTTGATTTGTTCCACCGAAAATATCATCGCCACAAGGAAATTATCGTCAATGAGGTACGCCAAATATACTGGATATGCGTTTTGAGAGGATTAGTTAGCGCAGTTGCGAAGAAGTGTCGAGTCTGCCGAATACGTAAAGCGACACCATAACCTCCTAAAATGGGATCGCTGCCACCAGAACGACTCGCTATCAACACTCGGCCATTCACTTTCACCGGAGTGGATTATTTTGGACCGCTGGACGTAGTAGACGGCAGACGTCACCAAAAACGTTAGGGGGTATTATTTACTTGCCTCACTGTGCGGGCCGTTCACATTGAGATCACACATTCGCTTTCTACAGATGCATTTCTACTCGTCTTGAAGCAGTTTGCCAGTCGTCGTGGCGTGCCGAGGCGAATTATCTCCGACAATGCTACAAATTTTCGAGGCGCAAGTAGAGTTCTCCTCAAGGAGTTGGAAAAACTTTCCTCTGATGCGCTGGAGCAAAATTATCCCGGCGTAGAATGGCGCTTTATTCCCCCGGCCGCGCCACACATGGGAACTTTCCTCTGATGCGCTGGAGCAAAGTTATCCCGGCGTAGAATGCCGCTTTATTCCCCCGGTCGCGCCACACTTGGGCGACGCCTGCGAGAGAATGATTAGATCCGTAAAATCAATACTTTCAGATATTCTTGGCGATTCCGGTGTACACGAGCACACCTTGAGAGCAGCGCTGGCGGATATAGAGAATATTTTGAACTCCAGACCCCTCACTTACATTCCGCTCGATACCCCGAACGACGAGGCTCTTACTCCGAACCATTTTTTGCTGGGTAGTTCCAGCGGACTAAGAGAACGCAGCAACGAAGATGATAGCGGATCAGCATTCCGAGAGAATTTCAAAGTTACATCGCAGCCTGCTAACCAGTTTTGGAAGCGCTGTATGAGGGAGTATCTGCCTGGCCTAACTCGGCGCGCAAAATGGCACCAGAATCCGCCAGCTCTAATCAACATTGGCGACATTGTCATTGTTGTTGATGCCACTAGCGGACGCAATACCTGGATGAAGGGTATGGTAGTTGAGATATTTCGCGCCAAGGACGGTCAGACTCGCAGTGCCATCGTCAAAACCTCACAAGGACTGTTGACTCGGCCTGCTGTAAAATTAGCAAAACTAGATATTTCTGTGTAAACTCGACGATGAGGCATCAAGTTTACAAGGGGGGAGTGTTACGATGCTTTTAAACCTGGCGCATCGTATGTGTTTCAGCCTTTTCAACTAGTATGTAAGTTATAATATATCCCTGGCTACTCGGTACTTTAAGTACCACTCTGTATGAGCAGTTAAAAATAGCGAGTGCAATGTTGGGTCGAAGTTGGACTATCGACTCTCGTTATTTCTTTCTCTCTGCAGCAGGCAGCGTGACAAGTTGAGGTGGGGAAACTGGGTGCTTAAGAAGCACAAATGCAAATTGTTGTTGTATGATATTTGGATAAATGGTATTCGAGTTAATAAATGAATTTCAGATTTTCTCTAGTGAATTGTAAGCGCAAAATATTGACTTTTTATTTCTCGCCCAACGTCCCAACCATAAGATAAGTAGCCTCATGGCTCTTTGAGAGCAAGATACAAGGGCAGAAACAAAGACAAGGGCAACGACAAAACCACAGACACTCACAACCTATATAGAAGGATCAAGCCAATGATAAAGATGAAGAACAAGACAAAGTTAAAGATAAATAAAAAGACAAGGATAAAGATAATGATGAATTTGTATCTTGCTTCTGTATTTTCACTACCCATTCCGCGGTGGCGTTAAAAGTTCAATGCAGCCGCCCCTGTCTATGTTTTTTTAATTCACGCATGCGCATACACATACGCAAAAATGAAGTTTTATTTTCTGAGCAAAAAATAAAACTCGAGAAATAACGATTACTTTCCGAGCAAACAATAAAACTTAAAACGTGACGATTATTTTCCGAGCAAAAAATAAAACTTAAAACGTGACCATTATTTTCCGAGCAAAAAATAAAACTTAAAACGTAACTATTATTTTCCGAGCAAAAAATAAAACTCAAAACAACGTTTATTTTCTGAATAAAAAATAAAACTAAAAAAATAATGATTAAACTTGATTTTTCTAAGTAAAAATTAAAAAATAAAAATCAGTGCCGCTGAAGGTATTTCGAGTAGTAAGATATATTGGTGTACTTATGCACGCAGCATTTCTCTTTCAGTGTGATTTTTTGAGTAGAAAATTTCAAAAGTAATCGTTATTTGCGGTCCCTGCATGAAACCGATTAAAAATAACGCTCGGTGTTTCCGTTTCGGTTTTGGTTTCGTTCTTCAAGATTTGTTTTGGTTTCGGTTCCGGTTTTGGTTTTGGAATAAAAAAAAAACAAAACAGTTTGACAAAAAAAATATTTATTAAATAAATATGTACCTTCCAAGGTTTGTTTTTGGCGAAATTAAACATTGTGATTAATTTTAATTTATTTAAAGAAAACACCCCTGAATCAATTATACAAACTAATAACCATATTCCAGCACATTTGCTTAGATCTAAATGCAGAAATTTGTTTATTATATTATTTGTTATGTAATGAGAGTCGCTGATAGGTAAAAGTGTGATTTTCACAGAAATTTTGTTGATATTGTAATATAATAGGAGTCTTCATCAAAAGTGATAAACTGCTGATAAACTTGATAAAATGATAAATTTATAATTTTGATAAATGAACTTTGTATGGGAATCTGTTTAACCAAAGTTTATCACTTTATCAAACGATCTTGGTGAATAAATGTATAAATTTCAGCAAAATTCAACTCTTGACAGGTTGCCAGGTAGCCGTTTTTGCTACGAACACAAAACAAGCAAATGAACACAATGGCCGCGGTAAGAATAAAAGCGTTATACTATCCATATACGTTAAATAATAAACAATTTTATGCAATTATTTACCAAGGTGCGTTCCTTAAAGAATGCGGATAAACTGATAAATTTAAGCAGTTTACCCCTATATCACTTTAGATGACACCTAATAATAATCGTTTGTTTAAAAAGAGTCACATGTTACTCGCAAAAGCTAATAAATTTATTTAAATATTTGAAATCGAATCCACTACATTACTACTTAAATTGGATCTCGTAGGTTGCACAATGAATTTTAGGTCTGAAAACAGGAACAGCTAAAACTAGACTTAGCTAACTGGGCTAAGTGCGGTTTCCGCAAAGACTACTTTTTCCAATATTGTAGAACATCAATACTTCGTTCTTGCCGCCTTTGATTGGCAAAGGCCACTAAGAGAGGACGGATAATTTCAGAGCTTTTCGGTCCGCTAACATAATCGTAATTACGATTCGCATCTAACTGAGACACCATTAACTCAAAATCATCAGACTCGTCATCTGAAGTGACAGCGACAGCACTGCTACCGCCTTGTAAACATTAGACAATGCTGTCAAGACAATCAACAAATACGTAGTAGTTGTCAAAAACGCTGATAATTGTCTCCGTGGCGTAGGCGTCCCACAGTGAATCGCCTAGTACAATCTAGTTGGACAAAAGTCAATTAAGTAATTGATAAATTTTTGATCACATCACATTAGCAACACCCCATTAATCATATTTGATGAAAAAAATTGTAGTAAACATTCCAGAGTGATGAGGAAGTGAAAAAAATATCGTCTAATTTTTCAAAGTATTTTTTTTTTCTTGTGCAATTCTTTTAAGTAATTTCTAACAGGAGTTAAAGTCAATACATTTAGTGCTGTTATGATGGATTTTACTCTAGATCTGTTTTATTTTCTTAATAGAAAATTTGATCAAAGCAAGAGGATTTATGTGATATAATACGTTTTAAAATAATTAAATTTTAAAATATTTTTATTTTTTTATTTATTTATTTATTTAATCTATTAAACTCATAATTAAATGATAAATTTAAAGAATTGGCAGTATTCAGTCCTATTTTTATCCAGTAGGTGAGAGTGGGTGTAGTTGGTGTGTCGGAGTCTTAGGCGGGAGATGATTATGATTTTGCTTTTTTTCAATGCTAGTTGGGTATTTTGCTGGAGTATAATTTAGGTTTATGTATTTGTAGTGGTGGTGTTGATATAGGGAGAATTCTTGGCTATAACGAGACTTTAGTTGATGATGGATGAAATGCTGGAAGTCAATTATTTCTATTGTGGGGTTTAGTATTGTTGGTGATAAGCAGGCTAGTTTGGCAGCCGATATCCCCACGTGTCCAGGACACCATAGCAGTTGGATGTTTTTGTTGTTGAACAAGTGATCGCGAATGGCGTTGATTACGCCCCATTCGCAGTTAAATTTGTTTTGTACTGTTTTTAGTACCGATAGGCTGCCGGTGCAAATCATTATTTTTTGTGTTTGCTGTGTGTTTGGATTGCATCGAGTATAGCAGCCGCTTCTGTAGTGAAGATTGATTCATCAACTGTTGTTTCAAGGTTCGACCTTGGGAGTCAACAATGGCATATGCTGAGCTATGCGAGTTTTTTGATGCATCTGTGTATACAATCTCATATTGAA